CGGCTTGAGAGCCCAGCCCTGGATGCCAGCTCCTCTGGCCTGCGCTCAGCTCCTGAATGGCGCTGGGTCCTGAGCCCCGAGAGCAGGTCCCCAGCTGGGAAGAAGTGTGCATGTGTTTGGGGCTGGGACCCTGCCATGACACGCTGAGCGTGAGGCACCCCTGAGTCGGCCAAGGGTATAAACGTGGCCTGGTGACTGAGCACATGTGCCACCCAGACACAGGCACCAGCACAACCTCCTCAGGGTGCATCAGCTCAACACCAGGTGCACCCTCCAGACCAGCAGGAATCAGGGCCAGGCAGGCAGAGACCAGACACGGCAGCCTGCTGCGGGGTGTGTGACCGGAGCCCTCCAAAACTGGCATGCGATGGGAGGAGTTTTTCTTTCACCCCTCTGGAGACTCCCATGAACCTCTGATTCTAAAAGCACCCCAAGGGGATTGCTTGGCTCACCCCCTGGTCTGGTTTGGAGGCTCACAAGGCAAGAGGTAAGGGTGGCAGCAGTTCTGGTGATGATAAGGCTGGATGGGGACGGTGATGCTCATGCTGAAGACCCTAGGGGTGATGACGGTGGTTGGCATAGTGATGGTAACGGTGGCAATGGAGGAAATGACAGTGATGCTGGCAACGGTGGTGCTGGTGATGTTGGTGATGATGGTTTGATGGTTTTGGTGGTGGTGCTGCTGCTGCTGCTGGTGCTGGTGATTTTGATAGTGATGGTGGTGATGAGGATAGCAGAGGTGACGATGGTGGTGATGGCTTTGATGGTGGTGGTGATGATTTGATGGTTTTGAGAATGGTGGTGGTGGTGATGGTGATGGTGGTGGTGATGGTGATGGTAGTGATGGTGATGGTGATGGCAATGGGGGTGGTGATGGTGGTGGTGGCGATGGTGGTGACAGTGACGGTGGTGGTTAGGATAGCAGGAACAATGCTGACAACAGTGATGATGGTAGGGATGGTGACTAGAATCCAGTTCCAAGAACAAGAATAAATAAAAACAATGCTGCTCAAACCGCCCTGCACACGTGTGAGGACCTGAGGTCTCTCCAGGAGCTGCCACCCTCCAATCTCTGTTCCCACTCTTGGGCAGGCTGGGGCTCCTCCTCAGGGGAAGGCCCTTGCCCTGCCAGCCAGAGCCTTAGAGTCCCAGGTTTCTGGCAGGGGCGGAAGACTCGGATCACCTCTGCGGACACCACCTGCACCTACAGACAACGGCAGGGCAGCAGGGTGGCACTGGAAGAGGAAGCTGGCATGGTTCCACCCAGCCCTGGTTCTTACACTTTCCTTGCAAGCATGTGTCACTGTCCCTAGCGGTGGCCGAGAGCATGTGCCCAGGCTGGGGCCACCACCATGGCCTTCTGTGGTGTCCCTGAAGCCTCTACATACACGCACGCATACCACAGAGAGCTTTAGGCAGTGGCTGCCACCCACCTGGTGGTGGTCCACTGAGTGACGCCTCCGGAGTCCCTGGCGGGCGGGTCAGATTTACCTAACATGCACGGGAAGCACCATGTGGCGCTAACTGAGTCCTGAGAGCACCGTGGCTAGGACCTCTCACCACAGGGAAGGAAATTCAATTTCCCTTTGACTTGAAATTAATTTTCAGAAGAAAGTTGCTTTATTGCTGTGCCGCAGGATGGCTTGCAGCCAGCTTCTGCTGCTTCGCGGAGAGGACCTGTCCTCAGCCAAGGGGTCCTGTCCTCGGCCGAGGAGCCGGGAACACTGTGTCTGGCCCAGGACCGGCCAAGCCGAGCTCCAGGAGACGTGGCCCGCCCCTGCCCCCGGGAATCTCGCTGGCCTCCAGGCAAATATTTGGGGAGCAAGGACAGCTGGTCTGCTGGCTGCCAAGCGGACAATCACCTCCCCCACTCCTTCCTCCTCCAGGATTCCAGGCACTGTGACACCAACACAGACCCCGGCGTCTCAGAGAAGTACTGCCGGGAACCAGCAGTGGCGGGTGGAAGCCGGGGCCACCAAGGACCAGCGACCTCTGCTGTGAGCCTGTCATAGCTGCCCTGGGGGCTGCAGATCTCGCCACCACCCAGCTCTACAGCTCAGCATTCCACGAGGCGCCGGGGCTCAGCACACATTCCTCTGCGCAGCTGGCTGGCCACGGGCCAGCTGATCACCGATAGATACTCGCCCCAGAACCCCTGCACAGCCAGGACAGCTCGTCAACACATTTCGAAGCCAGCACACAACATCATTTCGGAGAGAATGAAATTCCCCAGGATCCAGAGAGAATTCTGCGTCTGGACGGACTGATGGGATGGCCCAGAAAGGATTTCAGACATTGTCTGGACTTCGTGCCGCCGAACGGGAAACTGAGGTCTGGGGAGCTGTCCTACAAAAGGCTGACACAGGAAGGAAGCCAGGCATCCAGCTCCCCCAGCTCAGGCTCTCTGGCCAGCCTGCTTTTGCCTCCCACCCACCTTTGGGCCCCGCAAGGAGCCAGACAGTGCCCAGCTCTGTGTCCAGAGAGAGTCCTGACTCAGCCACATCAGCCCACTGCCACCAGGAATGGGGAGGGCCTGTGTTCAGGGGTTGGGCCCCATAGTAAGGCATGGCCTGGGCCACTGAGGGACAGCCTTCCTGGCCAGCTGAGGCCACCATGGACACCAAGGGACAGGACCTCATTCTGTTTGTTCATGTGCTCCTTGGGTTCCTAGGAGAAGACAGGGGGACTAGGGCTGGGTCCCCAGCTGGGCTCCGCCTTACCCACCCTCGGCCTCACGGCTGTCTCATGTGAGCGGGGCCACTGGCCTGTCCTCAGGAATAGGCCCTAAGGTCATCTGGGAGTCCCAGGCGGCCCCGCTGGGTGGGAGTCTGGCCTCTGTCACAGACGTCCCACGTGACTGAGAGGCTAAAGCGGCCTGGTATCCCCCCAGATCAGAAGGTGCCTCCCTGAGCATCGCCTGCTTAGAGGGCACCATCCTGCGCCCCCCAGAGCCTGGACAGCAGCACTGGCCCAGCCAGGACCCATCAGGGACGACAGATGGCTGACTGCAAGATCAGCGATCGGTGAGCCCTGCAAGGGTTGAGCCCTCAGACGCCCAGACGGTATCTGAATGCAGGTGAGAGGCTCAGTCCTCATGGCCCCAGAGTAACGGGCAGGGTGGTGAGGGGCAGTGGTGTCAGCAGACAGCAAAGCAGCGCAGACACACGAACTTGCTCAGGGTTTAGAAGCCTTCCCAGGGTCCTACGGTGACATATGGCAGCTACCGGGTCCCTGCCAGAAAGACCAGCCAGCCGTACCCCAGCTTCTTAAGGGAGATGGAGGAAGGCCTCAAAGCCAACATCATGCCCAAGGGCAGCTGGCCAGAATGAGGGCTCAGTGGCCCGTCCATCGCACACTTAGGGAACAGAATGAGACATATATGAGTTCTGGTTTTGAACCCAGCGCCTTTGCCCTGAGCCACTTCCACACCACCTCTGATGTTTTTATTTTGAGATAGGGTCTAGCTGAACTGCCTAGGCTGGGCTCAAACTTGGTATCTTCCTGCCTCAGCCTCCCAGAGTGCTGGGATTGCAGGCGTGTGCCACCACACCCAAATTATTTCATAGATCACCAGTGAACCAGTCCCAGGGGACACTGAGAAGCAGCCAGCACTGCTTCCTCTGCCAGTCAGCCCCACCTTGGGCTTGGTCCACACCAGCCCCAGCCTGGTTCCTGAGCCCCAGCTCCCGTGTCACCAAGCAGCCCAGCCAGACTCGGGAGGCTGCCGACCAGCACAGAGCCAGCCCAGCCAGAGAAGCAGATGAAGCCACCGGTCCCAGAGGCCTGAGCTTTGGACAGAAGGGCCACGTTCCCACCTGGTCCTCTCCCTCGCCCACCACACCACACACAGGCTGAGTTCGAGCCAAGCCTCAGGACTTCCAGTCCCTTCGCAGATCAGAACCGGCCAGACAGAACCCCGGGGCCTGGATACTGCCGCCCTCTCAGAGCCATCCTTTCTGGTCCCCACAGGAAGCAGTGAAACCAGAAGCTTGCAGGGGGGGCGCAGACTCCACGGGGGTGGGGGGCTCCCATCCTCTACTGCGCAGCTCCTCCCTGCAGCAACTGCCCAGATTATTCACTGTGAGGACCCAGACTGTCCCCGGACCCTACGGCACTGCAGGCCAGCACCTCTCCCACCAGGACCCTGGGAAGTAGAAATGCGAGCCATTGAGGTCCCTCAGGCTCCCCTCGCAGCAAGGCCCCATCTGTGTCACCGAGGATTGGTGTTTTTTGGGTTTGATAGCTGGGTGGCCTGGGCACCACTATCTACTGAGCTCGGCCAGCAGTGTCCTCTGGCCTATACTCAGGGCAGGGGTTCTGTAGCTGGGGTCAGGGCATGAGGCTCCCAGAGGCGATGGTGCCCCCCACCCCAGGGACATATGGCCTGGTCTGCACACACTGTTATTGTTGCAGCCGAGGGCACTGCCAGCACCACAGGTCAAGGGCAAGACGGTCTCACTGGAGTGACCACCAGGCTGGGGTACATAGGAGCTGAGCACAGCAGACATGGGGCCTTCAGTGATGACCAATGATCGGTCAGCTCCTGCCTCAGCCTTAGAAGCCAAATCAGGGCATTTACTTCCCAGCAAGGAAACTGAGGTTGGAATGAGAGGCACTGGGCAGAGTTGAGGTCCCTGAGGAAGCCTCTGTGCCAGAGCCAGGCCTGACCAAGTCCCTTTGGTAATGCACCCACAGTCTCCCCACAGAGACCTCTGGTGGCAGCTGCCCAGCTGTCCCCAGCCCCTCTAACCCAGGGAGGCACTGGAGGTGACAGTGCCCTGACCTAGGAGGACACACATAACAGCATTGTGGGTAGCGGGACATCTGGGCAGAGCCTGCTGTGCCTGGCACTGGGCAGAGGTCAGTGATGCTGATGGCCCACGGTCAGGGCCACTTGGTCCCCACTTCCTACAGTCCCAATTGGGACAGGAGTGGGGTTCTCAGATCCAGCTGCACACTGCTCCCACTCACACCTGGAGGCAGCAGCCTCCTATGCCTACCAGGTGCCCGGCGGCTTGCACCAGCTGGTGGCTGGAGAAGGGGAAGGCCGCGTCGCTCAGGTCTGTGTCCAGCACCTCCTGCAGGATGGCCCGGCTGGGAGAGGAACAAAGGAGGAGGTCAGCCTGCTGCTGGCACCCCTCCCTGGACCCCCCATTCCCCCCGCCTGTTCAGCACTCCTGGGGACCAGCTGGGAAGGCCTGGGGCTGCAGGGAGCAGGAGGGACATGGCCTGTCCCCATGGGGGCCATAAACAAGGTAGGCATCAAGACACCATGAGCAGCATGGACCACAAATGTATCGAGTGCAAAAGCTGCCTTCTTTCGGCTCATGCCACGCCCTAAACTCAGGTGACCTGGCTGGGACCAGTGGCCAGAGACAGGCCAGCTGTCCGTGAATCCCACAGGCTCCAGACTGTGCCTGGTCACCAGAGCTAGTCAGGAGACAAGTTGACTTTTGTGTTCAGACCAGATGGCCTGGTCCTGGTCACATCCTCAGCAGGGTGTCGTCCTACTTAGCCTACAGGGGCTCTGACAGGACAGCGCCCCAGGAGCTCTACACATGGGCAGCAGGTCTGAGAGGAGTCAAGAGCCCAAGCTACAGCCCAGCAGTGCCCAGCACCCACTTGGTACCTGCCACCTGTCTGAGGACTGGGGCCGCATCCACCGCCGCGGTCACACCCTGTGCTAAACTGTGGCCTGGGGGTGCCTGCTTGTGGCATCTGTCTTCTTGCAATGAGCTCCTCGGGGCTCCACTCCTTACCGCTGCAGCCCCCTCCCCATTTGACCTGGGCACTCAAGCTGTCTCTTCCTCCGGGCATCACCTGCCTCCCTGCATGTGGTTGGGGTACCCCCTTGCCTAGAGATACCTCATCTCCTGCCTGTGTCTCCCCGGGGTTGTACCCACTCCCCACCAAAACAGGGACCCCCCACAGCATCCCAACCCACCCAGCATGGAAAGGGCTGGGTGGGGGCAGCGCCTCGGCTGGCACAGCAGGGCAAGTTGACGCAGCCCCCTACTTCTGTGCCCTGGGGTCCCTGCAGGGCCAAGGCTGTGCTGTTCTGTTCTGGAAAGCACTGCCAACCCTGATCCCGCTGCAGAGCTGGGAGCCACCACCCACGCCCGCCAGAGGCTCGGCTCCCGCACTGCCTGCCAGGGTCCTTATGTAACACGGCACCCACGTGGCAGGCAGCCACTGTCTCTGCTGTCTGGAGCCAAGCAGCCCCATGGGGGCTTAGGGAGTAGGGGAGCAGAGCTGCCAGGGGGCCGGGGCTGGGGCTCTGACCTGGCCATGGCCTCAGTAGCACCCAGCACCCAAACTCCAGAGCCTCATCCAGTGGAGACCTCGTGCAAGACTCTGTCAGCCTCAGCCCCATCTGCTAAATGGGGACAGAGGTGTCCCTCGAAGCGAGGCCACCCAGAGCTGGCCAGGACAAGGGTCCAGTGTCTGCAGGCCTGACGGCTGGAACTGCCTTGCTCTGTATAGTGCCGGTGGGGCTTCCCGGAAGCTCAGATTAGAATTCAGCCACGCCCTCCCCAAAGCTCTGCCGGGACCCCCGCCACTCTCCACAGCCCAGGAGACACATTGAGAGCTGCCCTGCTGGCAACAGCAGCTTTCCCCTAGGAAACCTGGGCTTCTGTTGGAAAGGAGGGTGCCACAAACTGTCCTGGCAGTGACAGCTTCTGCCCACAGCTCGTAGCTCAAGGCAGCTGCCCTCCTTACCCACCCGGCTCCCCCAGGCTAAGGCAGCTGCTCCCCTCTGAAGCTGCTGTGACAACTCAGGCAGAGGCCCTGGGCACAGCAGGGTCCCCCATCACCCTGATAGGCGAGCACTGGGGCCCAGGAGAAGGAAAACCACCTGTAGTGTGGACGTACGGCAGGCCACACCGCGACCACCTCATCTGTGCCTCCCACCGAACCCTCTGCCCTCCTCGGGGTGCAGAGGACGGACAGCAGATGGCACCTGCATCTCACCTCCCTGCCTCATGGACACTTGCAGCCAGCTGCCCCCCAGAGCCACAGGAGCACCACACGGCCCTGGCTCCCAGTTCCTTGTCCTCTGGGGACCCTGGCTTCCCCTCCCCCCACCACAGTGTTAGAATTGAAGTCAAGCCGTGCCCCCCCCTCGACCCCCCTGAGGGACAGTCTCTGGACTGGTGCCTGGGAACCCACCCTCCCTCACCTGGCTGGGCCCTGGATGCTGATCAGGCCTAGGTCCTCGGAGCAGTCAATGAGCTGGCACTGGAACTGCTGGTCCTGCAGCACTGTGGTGATGTGGCACCAGTTGTGTTGGGCCACAGCCCCACCCACAGCCAGGTAGTAGCCGTCCCCTGCAAGAGCAGCGGGGAGCAGGCTCAGAATGGGACCTCAAGACGGGAGACATCAGGGCAGCCCAATCTACCTACACTGCTGCAGAAACAATGCCCACCTTGAGATCGGCCCCCAGGGACCCAGAGCCCCCCTTGTCCTCTCCAGCTCCAAGTCTGGTGTTCCCTGTCCTGGTCAGGCTACGTTCTGGCAGGGAAAGGTCTGGCGCCCCAGGACACCACCCACTACCATCCTGGCTTTCAGGGAAGGAGACTGAGGCTGAGAACTGACACACAGTAGAGTAGGGGCACCCCAGTTGTCTGGACACCTGTGGGGCTCCACTGCTGCCCACTGTGTCCTGCATCCTGGGAACTATATTGGGCTCTGTGGCCTCAGATGCTGGCAGGGATGCAAGTGGCTGGCAATAGGACAGCATGGACTCCAGCATGGCCATAGCCCAGACCCAACGGAGCAGCTGGGGCAGAGACAGGGCCCATATGGGCAACCCTGGGGCTTCAAGCTGGGGATCCTCCAGGCATAGTCACCCCAAATATTATGTCCTACTATGCTCCCTGTGGCTCCCTGCTGTCCTTGAAGACATAACCCATAGGCCTCCACCAACAGGAAGCCCTCCCTGACAACCAAAATGCACCCCCTGGTGCATGGCAGCCCTGGCCTAGACAGGGTTCTGCAACTTGATTCTCACATCTTGAACCTACATATTCTCATCTGTAAAATGGGTAGAACTTCAACACTGGGCTGCCAGGCTTCTCTGCTGTAGGGAACTTGTCTGGACTCCATCAAAGTGCTCCCTCTCTTTCTTCTGTAGCAACACAGGAGCCTTGGGGAGGACCAACCAGCCCTAGAAGGCTCCAGGAGCAGGCTTAGTCACCAGAGGATGCTGGGCACCCGCTGGGCCCATCCACCCCATGCCCCGCCTCCTCCTGAGGCTAACACTTGGTGCGCTCTGCAAACCCACCACTTCCCTGAGTTACAGATCCCATCAGGCTGCTGGACCCTCTGTATGTCAGGCACAGCAGGTTTGGGGAACGCAGAGGCCCAGTGGCTGACCATCATCCTCCTAGAGAGCATCACAGCGCCACCCCGCTGTGCCTGCAGAGCAGCCTCGAGGCAGTGGTGTGGCCGTTCCCAGAGAGGAGATGCCCAGCTCTCCTGGTGGGGTGCCCCTCAGGATGGGAGGTGGGTGGAAGGGATGAGAAGCAGACAGCTCATGAGATGCTGAGCTGCCCATCGCTGGGGCCATGAGAGCAGAAGGGAAGGACGTAGAAGGCTGCTCGGACATCGGCATGGACACTGACTGAGCTGAACATCTGAGGCCCTTCCAGGCCTGCAACTGAAAGTTACGGAAGCCAAGAAGGCAGGTGGCAGGCACTGATGGCAGGAGGCCACACTGGGGAAGGCTAAGAAGTAGCAGCGGGGACAGCTGCAGAGCCACAACTGCTGGGCTCTCTCATGGCGGCCTGCACAGAGCCTGTGCTGGCCGGAACTGGGGTCCTACTCACCCACCCTGTGCCCCTGCACCTCTTACCTTCAAAGGTGGGGGCCACCGGGCAGCCTTGGGTCCCGGGGGCCAGGCGGCTGACAGTCAGGTCACTCTCTGTGCCGCCCCTGTGGTTCAGCATGCAGGTGTACACTGTGGAGCCTGGGGACGGGGACCCGAGTCAGCACAGGCTGTCACCTGGGCCGCGACCTCTGCGGGTCTTGCTCAGGGACTCTGCTTCGACAGAGTGACCCAGAGCGGGCCAGAGACAGACAAGTCAACCATGTCCATCACCCTGAAAGGTGGGAGGTCTAGGGACACATCCCTAAAATGCCCACTGGTGAGAGGGCACCATGGGCAATGGGGCGGTGCACAGGTATGTGGGAAGTCCAGGATGGGCAGTACAGGTGGTGGAGGTGGCCAAGTGGTGGAGGACGGCTCGGGGAAGGACCCTGGACGAACACAGGGTTGTGTGGGTGCGGGGCAGGACACTGGTTACTCAGCACTGGATATGACCTTACTAGGAAGAGGTCTTATCCAAGCCATGAGATCAAACTGGTGGCATCACCAGCACTGCTGTTTCAACCTCCGGCCTCTGGGACAAGGAGGTGCTGGGTCTCTAGGTTGAAGCCACCCAGTTTGGGACTCTGAGACACAGCAGCCCCCAGGAATATACGGGTGGGCTTTTGGATTGGTAGATGGGTGAGTAACATAAAGACACAGCAAAGTCCCAGACATGGCATGGAGCACACGATGCTAAAAACCCAGTGTCACCAAGCACCTGAGATGCTTACTCTGGGAGCCCTGTGGGGTGCTGAGCCCCCTCAGTCAGGAGACCTGGCTGAGGGCCTGGCCATGGCAGAGGGTGCTGGGCAGGTGGAAGGTGGCCAGGCCCGGGCCTGTGCCCACAGGGTTTTCCGGGCTGACCAGGAGAGGGCAGCCCCTTACCCGGGGGTCGCCTGACGTCCGCGGAGAAGAGCCAGTCTGCAGCCTTTGCAGCATCGGGGCCCAGCAGGTAGAACTTCCCAAAGTAGGACATGTCAAACACGGCAGCCGCCCCTCGGCAGGCCAGACACTCCTCCTGGATCTGAAAGGTCCCAGAGGATGTGGGGACCAGGGCCTCCCAATACACCACTACGCCCACTCCCTTCCAGCCTCCTGCCCCAGTCCAGGGAGGTTCTTATTATGATTCCTATCTAGAGGCCCCCAAAACCCCATCTGCGATCTCATGCGGCTTTAGGGAAGCAGCTGCTGGATTGGGGGCTTTATAACTCACCGCTGCAGGAGGCAGGGCCTGGTTAGAGGAGGCTGGCACTGGGGGCGGGGCCTGGAAAGGGTCATCTCCTCCCTGGCTCCCCCCTTCTCCCTCTGCCTCCTGTCCCCCACGCCCTGAGCACTCTCTTCCGCCACACCCCTTGCCAATGGAGTCAGTCAACGATGGACTCAAACATGAGCCAAAACGAGTGTCAGGTATTTTGTCCCAGCAAGGAGGGAAGTGATACAGGACAGACCCAGGCTGAGCCAGCCAGCTAGGCTCCCCGAGACTGGAGTCACAGGGGTGGTAAGTTCAGAATCAGTAGCAGGAGAAAAACTGGGAAATCCTCATGTGAGCAGAAATTAAACAAGTCACCCCTAAGGAGCCCCTGGACCGCAGGGGAAGAACCTGATTTCAGAGGAATGGAAAGAATCACAGCACAGAGCTCAGGCCATAGCAGCCCGGAGCAGGTTTAGCCTCAAGTGGGCCCAGGTGATAAAAGGCTGCCACTCCGTAAACCAAGCAGAACTGACAAACCTTTAGCTAGGCCCAATCAGAGAGAAACTCCAAGTCCCAAATGGAGGGAAAGGCAGAGCGTCCCCACCTCGCTTCTGGAAAGCAGAGACAGGAAAGACCACAAACAACTGCACGCCAGCAGATTAGACAGGAGAAGGACAGAAACCCAGCAAGACAGGAGCCTCTAAACCCAGGTGCACGAGGATGGAAGATACTCAGAGAGCTGGAACAAAACGATCGAATTAGTCCTCAGAAAAACACCCACAAAGAAACGCCCCGGCCTATTGGGGCTCACTGGTGAATTTCTCCAAGCTTGCAAAGAAGTTAGCAGTACTTCAGGAACCTCCAAAAATGGGACAGGGGAAGGACAAGATGTCCTTCCAGGTCATTCTAAGAGGCCTACATTACCCTGATGGACACACAGGCCCTCAGCAAACACGGCGAACCGGCAGCAACTACGCCAACAGACCAGCGGGTGCCGCCAACCTCTGGCTATCCCGGAATTCAAGGTTGGTTTCGCTTCCAAATGGAGAAACGTGGGGGGCTAGGGATTTAGCTCAGAGGCTCAAGTGCCTGCCTGGTAAGCGAGGTCATGAGCTCAATGCCCAGTACAAAAACCCTGATGAATTGTGCATCGGAGTAAGAAAGGAAAAGACAAAAGCCCACCATCCCCCAGCAGGTGCAGCTGGACAATGTCCAGCTTCTTGAGATAAAAATCCCCAGCAGGCAGGCAGAGGGCCACCCGACCCAGCCTAGCCCACACCTCCTCCGCCCTGGCACCCTCGGCCCCTCAGATAAGAACCAGACCAGGTCTCTGCTTTCCTCACTTCTGCATGTAGGGCAATCAGGCAGGAAGAAGGAAAAGCTTCCCTAGCTGCCATCACAGACCGAGGGTGTCAGGAAGGAGACCAGGAAACGGCTCAAACAGCCGGAGGGGAATCAGCTCAAATACCTGGATCGACCAAACAGGGTAGATCGCTATCAGCAAGGATGTCACACTGATCAAAAGACCCAGTCACAGAGGGACACCCCCTGATCACCCACCGGTCTCAAATGTCCACCCTAGAGGAATCAGTAGGCACCGGAAGCAGATTGGTGGTTGCCTGGGCTGGGGTGGGGACAGGTGACTCCCAGGATGACCAAGTGACCTTTGCAGGGAGGTGCTGACTAACCACAGGGACTGGGCCTTCCTGCTGAACAGCTGGGGGCACCTGAGCTGCGCCCCCAGTCTTCCCCACTTCCCCTGGACACCTGTGGCTTACAAGCCCCTTGCCAGGTTTCTGAGGCCCAGCATGGCTGAGCTCTTCTCTCCCAGCCTCCCCTCTCTGTACCCGAGCTCAACACCCATCTGCTGAGCCACTTCATCCAGCAGTGGCCATGGCCCAGGCCATCACAGCGGGGAAGCCACAGAAGACACTCAGCCAGGCCTCGGGGACCACCCACCACTGGGCCACTCCCCCAGCCCTGGCCCGTGCTGGGGATGGCACCCTGAGGAGTGCAGGGAACCCCACCCTGGTGCGAGCTCACAGCAGTAAAATCAGCAGATGCCAGGGACCAACCCGCCCCCCACAGCTGGGTGCACTTATGCTCCCAGGCACTGGGGCTCAGTAGCTCCCATTCTCTGGCTCTTCCTTGGCCCCTTCCAGGCATTACCAGCCTTTACCTAGCACCCACCCTATGCCAGGTGCCAGGGGACCTGTGCCAGTGTGCTGGGGCTGCAGACCAAACCCCAAGACTGATGTTGCCACCTGTGGGCTGGGGACACTGCCAGCAAAGACAGCACGCGCGCTTTGTGCCGTGAGACTGGCTTGGGCACGTCTGCGGGGGCTGCGACACCCTTGTGCCAAGCTGGCGGCTCCCTCGAGCCTCCGCTTCCCGAGGGCTGGGAGCCCCACAGCTCTCAGAGCTGCGGAGCTGAGGTGCCAGACGCAGCCCGCACGGTCCCTGCAAGGCAGCAGGGATGAGACCTGGTCCCGCGCCTCCTGCTTCCGTCTCTCCTACCACCCTGCAGATCAGAGCCACAGGAACAAGTCTCCGGGACAGAGTGGGAATAGGTAGCTCCCTCCCTTCCCAAGGGGCCCCAACACAGCCAGTGCAAGATGGAAGCAAGGCCAGTGCTGGGGACACTAGGGCATTTCCAGGTGACACTGAGCCCTCAGCCACAAGCTCTGGGTGGCCCAGAGTCACCCTGCTCCAGGGCCAGGTCACCTCTCAGTGTCCCCAGGCCACCCTTGAGTGTCTCAGGTGTGGTGACTTGGGGCGCCTCTTGGGTGTGGGCACAATGTGGGGTGACCATAGTGTACCTAGGGCCAGGCAGGCACAGGGTGCCCGAGTGTGGGAGGGAGTCCTGGCCCCGGAACCGTCGCCTCCACACCAGGGGGAGGGGAGCCAGGCACAACGGTGAGGCTCCTTGAGCCCTCAGTGCCCTGATTGGCCAGCCTCACCTGCCCTCTGTGGGCCGCAGCCTCTGCATCCCCGGAGCCCCTCACTGGACTCTGCACAGCCTCAGGACCCAGAAGGGCTCAGAGTGGTGCAAACACTGGCCTGGGCCACACAGCCTTCCCCAGCCCTCTGCTGGGGAGCAGCAGTGCTCAGCCTCGGTCCCACCTGCCAGCTAGTCCTCGGTGCACTCAGAGGGGGAGGAGAGAAGGAGAGGGAAACCGAGTCAGCTGGCAAAGGGGCTGACCCTGGAGCCCAGGTCTTACCAGGTGGTGATGGGGCGGGAAGTCGAAGGTGTACTCGTCCCCCAGCAGCCGGCCGTAGGCGTAGTCCTGGTGAGGCCGCTTCCCATAGGCACCATAGTAGTCGTACTCAAGGACCTGGACATGGGCCATGGTCACCAGCTGCCCTCTTGCAACCCTCCTGCTGCCCTCCACCAGCACTGGGCTGCAGGATCGAGCAGATGCAGACCCCCTGGGCTGTGAGGGTCGAGGAAAAGTGGCCCCAGTGGGGTGGGTGAGGGGGTAGCAAGGGCCTGGGGCAATGCCAGGGCTTCCGCTGGACCCAGGGCAGTAGGACACGGCCGGAAGTGGCCAGCCGAGAAAGAGGGTAGGGTGTGGGGCACAGACGCCTCTGGATGCTGCTGCCATGGTGACCTGGAACCCAGTGCCCACCCGGGGAGCCCAGCAGGAGGTGCCCCACACTTCCAATGAGGGCAGTCCCTTCTGCAGATAGGAAATTGATCCCAAGAGAGGCACTGAGCCCAGTGTGCCCAGGAAGCTCAACCCTGGCAGCTGGAGGCCTTTCCCCAGCCAGGCCTGCCTCCCACGCAGGGAGACCCAGAGGGACAGCCAGTGTCTGGACCAGGCACACATCGTCACCAGTCTCCTGGGTCCAGCCTGGCTGGGGTCCAGGGACAAAGGGCACTCCTGGGGGGACCGAGGATGTCCTGTCCCCACCCTACCCCCTCTCCTTACCCAGGAACTCAGGGCACAGGGCTTGTGGCCAGGGCTGCCCAGGCGCTGACCCAAAGACTGTATTGACCCAGGAACCAAGTGCCCCTAAGAACAGCCAGTGATCCGGGGTTCTGAAGATGCCAACCCTGGGCTGCAGGCCTCATTTGCAAGCTTTGGTTCTGCTGCCCTGTAGCTGGCTGACTCTGTCCTGGACTCAGGTTACTCTGGTGATGGGTCGGGGCAGTGAGGGGTACAGCACATGACAATGAGCTGGGGTTAATTTGGGCAGATCTGGGTTACACAGCAGCCCTGGGCTGGCCTCAGGTACCCTGGTCTGTCCCCAGTGGGTGATGGGGAACCCTCTGGGGGTCCCCAGAGGCTGGGAAGTGGGAACCTCAGTGGGTAAACTGAGCTTGTAGAGGAATAAACCCTCCTCCCAAGCAGCCTCCTACTCACACCGGCTCGGAGTTGGAACTGCCAAAATCATCAGCAAGGCTCAGGGAGGATTCTGGGTTCTGCAGGGCCCGGAACCTTCATGCCACCCACCCTGGCCTGGGTGCTGGCCCCAGGCTGGGCAGGGCCAGACCGCATGCCCCCTGGGGCCAGGTGACTGACTGAGAGGCTCTGGGGAGTTGGAGTGTGGGGCCTAGCGCCTGTGCTGAGCTTTGGTTTCTGGTCATGGATGGGAGCTCTGACCGCTCTCGGCCAGTGGGTGGCTCACATGATGCTCCCCCAGCCTGCCCCAGGCCGGAATCCCCCTGCCGCAGGGGAGGGTGGGCGGGAGGACGTCCAGGTGTCCCCTGGCCAGCACTGATGCCAACTCACCGGAGCCGGGCCCTGGGGACTGAACCACCCTGGCCGCTCCCAGCCGTGTCGCTCTTGGAACACGCAGCCTCGTCCCAGAAGCTCCTGCAGGGGACACAAGCACCAGTCACATGCAGGCAGACACTGTGTGGGACACAGAGTGACCAGAGCGCAGAGGACACAGGTGCCTCCTCCCCCTGGGGCCTGAACCCAGCCTACTCTACTGCCCCTGCCCCAACTTGACCCTAGAGCTCCACCCTAGAGCCCACACCAAGCACCCACCAATGCCCATGGCACAGCCCTGCCCTGTAACCAGGTCAGGTCAGGACCTCCCTCCTCCAGCTGGTGCCCACCAACCCCATGAGGACACAGAGTGGGCATGGCACCACAGCCAGGAGGGCCACCTGGATTCCCCAAAGGTACCAAGAGAGAAAGAATCTGCTATTTGAGGCCCTATCTGTGGCACTGTGTTCCAGCAGCTGAGCCACTTGGGAATCCAGGTGTCGCACCCCTGTCAAGTCAAGTCCCAGTACTGCTCCATTGTCAGAAGCCACCTTCTGCTGACAGATAACACACATGCACGCTGGACAGTGCTGGAATATTACTCAGCCATGAAAAGGGTGGGGCTCTGGGAACACCAAGCTGTGGATGGAACTGAACCCACTGAGGGAGAGCAGCAGACACAGAAGGTGTCTCTCAGACCCTGACATGAAGGAGCCTGGTGAGGGAGGCCCCTGCTCCTGCTGGGATGCCAGCTGCTGCCCATGCTCATCCACCCACTCAATAGCCACTCCCTACGCCCCCCCCCCAGTGCTCAGGAATCAGGGTAACCAGGTCACCATCACCCAGTGTTCTCAGGAGAGGAGCCACAGGATGACCAGGGATGGAGATGACCGGGTAGGGACACTTGAGGCCTTGGGGGTTCAGGATTGTGCACAGGGACAGGCCTCAAGGAGGAGCATGGGGTAGCGGGTTTCACTGTATAAACAGAAGTTCACCAGAGGGCCAAGCAGCTTCTACAGTCAGAAACCTGTCTCTGTCCACTGCAAGCCTGGCTGTTTCTGTCTCGAATATGCAGCTGTGCCACCCAGACCCCAGGCCACACGGGGCCCAGCATCAGGACAGACTCCAGACTCACAGTGCCTGGTGACTCTGAGAGTCCCATCACCCCTACAGCACAGTACCTCGTGCAGGGGGCCCCTCCGCATGTTGCGCCCCGCCAGTGGCTCGTCGTGGGGGAAAACAACCGCGTAGTTCTTGGCGTAGGATTCATGACTGCGCTCTCGGATCCAGCGTGAGTGCTCGGTCAGGGAGTGGGGGAAGCGTCTACACAGACAGAGGCCCAGTCACTGCCACGCGGTGCCAGGGAGGGGAGGGACACCTGCAAAACCCTGGCCTGGAGCCTACAGCCCCCAGGCTTGGGCTTAGTCCCCTCTGGGCACCACCTGCCCAATCCCAGTCCCGAGCTCCTGGCTGCTGCAGCCCGGGCCCCAGAAAGGGACCAGCCCCTTACCTCCCCTCCTCTCAGGCCGGCACCTCCCAGCCAGGTCCCCCAAACCTGCCAGGCAGAGCCTGGAAGTTCTGGGAGGACCCCAGCTGGCCTGGACAGCAGCTTCAAGCCCAGCTAACTACCATCAGAAACAGTGACTGAGGAAGGGGCCTGTCCCTGGCAGCTGAGGACCCGGGGGTCCAGTTCCAGCTCCCTCCGGGTGCTAAACTTGGAGGCCCTGAGGTTGCACCTGCAGCCCCATCCCTCTCTCCCAGGGCCACCCCATCTATCTGCCCCCAGGGACAGCGGGGCCCAGTGCCTGCAGACTCCCGTTCTCTCCTCTCCCCACCTGCCAGGTCCCATGTGTGCCCTGAGGCCCACACCATGCCCTGCATGCCCCACAGGAGGCTCCTGTCCTGGGGACATCTGTCAGGGCCTCCAGGCTGAGTGATCCAGTCTGCACCTGACCCTACACCCGAGCGATGCACAACCCACAGGGAGGAAGAGGCCAGGAGGCCCCATGGCTGTTACTCCGTGGTCAGAGTCCTCCGGGGACCGGAAGCCAGGGGCACAGGACACACAGGCCTCCGGGTTGCTTGGATGGCAGCAACTTGGCAGTCTGTTTCCCTCCACGGCCCTGGGGGGCAGGACCACCCAGGGCAAGGGCAGAGGCAGGGACGGGCCCGCACCATCTGATAGCCTTGAGGGCAGCTGCTAGGGGCCTAGGGACAGTGAGACTCAGTGGGGTGAAGGGTTCCTGCCCCAACTGCACCTCGTGCCCACAGGGACCCGGCAGCCAAAGACCAGCCTGAGTATGGGCCAGGCACCCACAGCCACGGCTCAGGCGGCATTGGGTGAGAAACAGCCCCGCCCAGCCACCCCAACCTGATCACCTCCCCAAAAAGAGCAGCCCTGGCCCTGCAGAGGTCAGGACCTGAGGTGGGGAGCCTCAGCCAAGGTCACAGGGTTACAGGATCACAGGGTCACAGGGTGCGACCTGTGGGTCATGGCAGAACCAGCCTTGCTGGGTTTCCTGTGCCCACCCAAGGTGCTGCTCAGCCTCATCTGCGTGGTTGGCCAGGCAGGAGATCTTGGAAACCAACCCTGAGTGGAGGTGGGTCCCAGGCCCAGGCACCCCTCTGCGCACTGCCTGCCCCAGGCTTCTCCCCCTCCCTCTGCTGCCTCTTCCAGGAAGCCCCAGGGGACCGGAGGCCCCTGCCTTGTAGCACTGGCCGCCACCCAGCCCACGTGGGCCCGTCCACCTGCCTGATGTCGTAGCTGTACATGTCCTTCTCCGGACGCCCATAGACGACCCAGTGGGCCAGCTCCTGTCCACAGCCGCCGCCCAGCATCATCCCTGGAGGGGAGGGGAGCTGCAGTCCCCCACCTGATGGGCAGCCCACACCCTTCCGGACCTTGCACCCTGCTCGCCACACTCACCAGCGCTGTTGAAGCCGCAGCCCAGGAAGAAGCCCCGCAGCTCTGGCGCCTCCCCCATCAGGGGCTTGTGGTCCGGAGTGAAGGACTCTGAAAGGACAGCGAGGTCTCCTGAGGGGGCCCCACTAAGGGGCAGGGCTCTGCAGGCACCTCCACCTCGGCCCCCAGGGTCTGTGTCCAAGCTCCCATCCGTCCTGCTGCTTGTGCCTGTCCCATTCCCCTGCCCTGGCCTGTGCCTGGGGCCAGGCATGTCTCGGCCAGCTCCATCCTCCTGCCCACATGGTCTGGGCTGGCAGTACCATGCCAGGACTTGACACTCAGGCCCCCTGCTCCATGCAAGGGTGAGGGCCAAGCTTTGCACCCTTCCTTGTCCTAAGGCCTAGCACAGAACCCTGAGAGAACACAGGTGCTTGGCAGTGTTCACTGAGTAAATGAATGACCATCTTTGCAAGAGGGGACCAAGCCAGCCTCTCAGTTCTGTCTGCTGCAAGGGCTCAGAAACCAGAATTCGGTGAGGGAGTGGCTTACAGACCCTCGGCTGTTTTATACACATCGGTGCAGGGCAAAGGGATCTGGAGTCACGGAGGCCCCCACCAGTGCCTCCTGGGCCTGGGCTCTGACCCACCCCTCCCAATCCTGGCACTGTACACCCTACTGCCCAAGGTTTCCCAGCTCAGGCCTGGATGTCCTGTGCCTACTGTGGCTGCAGAAATGCTGCGTCCCCCTGCATACCACCCCCAGAACAGCGCAGTCCCCAGCTAATTAATCCCAGAGCACCCAGGGTGTTTATGCCCTGGGGACTCTTCCTGTTTCTCCCTGAGGGTCCCACGCAGGCCAGAGAGTCATGGGGACCATGAGTCCCACTGCTGCCCACCGCCTGCAGCTTGGTGGGCCTCCTTGGGGGCTGCCACCTGTAGCAAAGCCAGGCCCATCAAGAAGCAGCCAGCTGGTGGCAGTGGTATAGACACTGGTGTGCTAGGTGGACACAGAAGAATGGACACCCCATGGGCCCAGGCCCTTTGAAGGACCCTTCACCTCTCCTGGCCCTGCCATTCCCTTCTGGGGCCCTGAGCTCCTCCTGGGCACCCTCTCTCAGCATGCTCACCACAAGACTTGCTGGCACCTGTCACCCGTCACCCCAAGGTTTCTGTCACCCAGTTCACCAAGGGGAACACAGAGGGACCAAGGGGCTGGTGATCCATAGCCCAGAAATGGATGCTCACCCCCAGGCAGAAAGGGAGCACCCATGTGAGCCCCTGGGGACCTGAGGGGATGCTCGCCTCCTGGCTCCTGTGTTCCCACCTGCCAGCCCTCCCGTACTCCTAGTCCAAAGCCCTGCCCAGCACTGTATTCCTCCCTCCTCTCAGCCACCACCATGGGTCCCCATCGCAACCCTGACCAAGACTGGTGTCATGGAGTCCACCAGCAGCTGCCAGCCAGGAGACTCAGGAGCCAGAGCCCTGGGTGTCTGCGGGCCGCACCACACACCAGGGTCAGCTTGGGCCCTGCAGTTCCCAGGATCTCAGCCCCTGTACCCACCAGAGACGACACACATGTCCCAGGAGTGCCAGCCCCAGGGCAGAGACAGTGCGGCCCCCACGGTGGCCCAGCCTCTGCTCCCACCCCCTTAGGAACCTTTCCATTGCCACCCTGGTCTGTAGCTCTGCTAGCCTCTGAGACCAGAGGTCAGGTGTGAGACACGTGATGGGGGTCTTGTGGCCAGGGCAGTGCCTTGGGGAAGAAGGGACAGAGGCTAGGGACAGGGCTGGGGCTGGGCCACTGTGTAACTGCACAGGTTACAGGGATGGAGTCTCTCCTCCCCAGGTGCACATGAAGACACCAAGTTCCAGGTAGCAGAGGGTAGCATGGGCACCTTGGGTAAGACCATCACCTCTGACTCCGCCAGCCTGGGGGACACAAGGCCTCCCACTCACCGGGACCACAGACTGTGGACTTGATCCCTGTGGTCTCCAGGACAGGGACACGGTTGATGGCGCCTTCGATGTGCTGGGTGAACACGTCCCAGTCCAAGTCAAAGAGGCCAAAGGCGAACTTATCCGACACCTGCAGAGGTAGGATGGGGACATGGCATGTGTCCCAAGAAGGGCTCAAAGACCCTCAGGACAACAGCTGGAACCCTACAGGGGTAGTGGATGTGGCCTTGCTGGGTCAGGGGTCAATCAGAGGGTAGCACTGGGAGCCCCGCCCCCTCCCCATTCCCACCCCATCTAGCTCCACCAGTCATCTTGATTGCTTCAATGGCCACCAGGGGTCACCTGCTCCCACATCCACTGCTCCAGCCTGCCACCATCCCCCACAGATCTCCAGGGCCCCCAGAGCTCGCAGGAACCAGCCCTGACCACTCCACTATGGCCACCCCACTACGAGGGCCCCAGACCTCCTGATGGCCACTCTCAGTATGGTGCTCTGCTTGGTGTGCCCTGATTATTCGGGCTCCGCCCAATTTCAGTCTTCGGGAAGTCCTTACCCTCCTTCCCCGGCTGATCCTTAGAGGCCTTGCTTATCTGCCTGGTAATTGTTTGTCTTCCCATCAAATTACAGGCACCCCAGGCAGGGACTTTTACCTTAGCTGGGCTCCCCCTCCTGCAGACAGTCAGGCAGCACCAAGCCCCACTGTGTGTGCACTCTGGGAGGCCGGGGCCCTGCGTGCAGCCCAGAGGCTGGGAGGACCCAGCACTGCTGCCAGCCAGCCGAGCTCCAGCTGCTGGGCTCTGGCCCCACACCGGCTAGCCACATGCCCTCACCACCCCAGCACCCCAGGATGAGGTCTCACCTCCTCCCAGAAGATGGGATTGGTCTCGTAGCCGCCCACAGACAGGGCATCCCCTTGCAGGCGCAGGTAGACTGAGGTGTCGTGGTCTCGGACATTGGGCATGTTCTGGGGGCAGAGTGGAGGCCAAAGCGTTGGACAGGGCTCCAGGTGTCACCAGGCGGGGTGGGCCTCCCAGGCCTCCACATTGCTGGACCCCAGGAACTGGTGGACAAGGTCTCGGGCTACACACAGAGGGCGGAGGCCTCCCGCCCAGGTCTCTGCTTCCCCAAATCCCTTCAGACAGCAGCAGGCAGATGAGAAGGAAACCAGAGGCGCTGCCTGGCCCACGGGAGGAGGGACGTCAACTCCCCCACTATCCCTCAGAGCCCAGCTACCCACACCAGACGGCTGGTTCCAGCTAGGCAGTGACCTGGCAGCAAAGGAAAGGCCTAGCATCCGGTCAGGAGACAGAAGAGGCAGGGCGGCCCTGCCTGCAGGGAACAAGGTCTTCACATGGAGGCCCCAGGGTGGGCGGAAAGGTCTCTAACTTGTGCTCTGCTAAAGGACTTAGACCCTGAATCTATGAACAAGTCTGGCTACCAGGTAAGAAGACAAGCAATGCGATTTAAAAACGGGGGACAAACGAAGCTGCTGATTCTCCAAAGCCGATTTATAGGCGGGAAGAGGCTGAACACCAGCGGCCAGCTCAGAAGCACAAATCAAACTGCGACCAGAGTCCCTGGGATAAGGACAGGTGACAGCGAATGCTGGGTAGATGGGGAGACCAGGAGCCCCCACACTGCCAGTGGGGTACTGCAGCCTCACCTCTGGGGAACCTCACCACAGACCCCAGATTGTTACAGAGGCACACAAGACTCAGCCACCCCCCACCCACGTGTGTCCCCGGGGGAGGGGACTGTGTGGCACCACTCCTCACAGTGCCCCCACCTGGAAAAACCTCAGAAGGCACACGGATGGGTCACACGCTCAAGACAGGGTAAGAGAATGTCCACTGACCACCCACGGGAAGGGTGACACTGTACAGACCCTCACAACTAACACCGGAAACAGAGGCTGAGCCAGAGGCAGGAGACACCCAGCCTGGGAAAATCATGGAGACGGAGATCAGGTGGGCAGCTGCCTGCAGCCGGGGCTCAGGTGGGAAACAGGGGGGTCGTGGTGACCAGTTTGGTCACAGTGCGCACATGCAAGCCTCGGAGTCACATAAAACTGAGCAGCTGGGGAGAAAAGTGCTCCTAGAGCCAGGAAACACAGGCCGCTGGACGGCTCTGAGTTAAGAACACGTATACAGCCGTCACACTGCGAAGGCTGTCCACTGCGAGCCCAGTGAACCAGCCATTCTGAAGCTGGAGTAGGGGTGAACCAGGGCCCCAGCTCCTCGTGGGGCGTTGTCCTCCATGCTGTGCTCTCTGGAGATGATCGCCTGGCATTCAGGGACAGGCAGAGCAAACCGGTCACCTGGCCATTCTCACCCCATCTCCCAGTGGTCCTGGCCAACCTCGGGGCTGGACTAAGATGTCCCCTTGGGGGGTGGCCTGGAGGAGGGGCCAAGGCCTCAGGGATGGAGCCCTGCAGAAAACTAATGTGCCCACAGACTCCAAACACAAAACAAAGAAACCCCAGAGCACCATAGAACAGGACAGTGGGGCCACCTGGTGGCCATCGAAGCTCAGGATTCTGCCCCAGCAGGACTGGTGTCCCGGTCTCTGAGGCTGAGGGGCCAGCAAGCTCCAGCAACAGTGCTGCACCTTCTGTGCCCCCATGACCCCTCTGCAGGAGCCACCCACCCCAGCCACACTGCTGTGGCCCTGGCCCTCTGACATCCCTGCCTCCACCAGTGCTTCTAAGCCCATTGGCCATGCCAGGCCCAAGTCACCGCCTTGGGCCCAGCACCCCATCCAGCCCCTCCTCACTTCTCCGGGGCTGGAATAGGATAGCCCCTTGGGGTGGCACATCTGGGCGGTAGATCCAGCTCCCTCTCGAGCTGGGAAGGAGAAACTGAGGCTCAGAGTGGTATCGGGGGAGCAGGATTCAGAGCCCAGCTGGAGCACATTGGTTGCAGCGCCTGTGTCCACAGGAGCAGAGGGAGGGTGATGGGAAGGTGAGGCCGTTTGTGGGCACCTGCTCTGGTGCGCGGCGACCCCAGGCCCAGCCCCAGATTCGCTCAGCTCAGCAGAGTTTGCTCTGACCCAGCAGTGGGCATCAGTGTTGGGGTCCCATCCCCTCCCAGAGCCCCCAATGCACAGCTGTCGCTTGGAAGACCTCTGCTGCCACCCCAAGCTCCTGTCTCCTGCAGACTCGGAGCTCCTGCGGCCAGCGAGCCTGTCCTTGTGCCTGGTACCGAGGCACCAGGGGCCCCCAACTGGCTTTGTAAATAACCTCAACTTCCCTGCTGCTTTCCTCTGGAAACTTGGCCACCTCCTCCAGGGAGTCTGAGAAAGAGCCATGTGGTTCTCAGTCCCAGCTCAGGCTGTGGGTCAAGGGACAGACAAGGGACAGGCGCACACCTGTGAGCCCAGCACTCAGGAGGCTGAGGCAGGAGGATCACCATAAGTTCAAGGCAATTTGGGCTACATGGTGAGCTCAAAGCCAACCTGAACTTCATGGTGAGACCTTGTCTTAAAAAGAAGGGGGAGGGAGGAGCAGTGGAAGAGGAGGAGGAGGAAAGGTGAGAGTTGATGAGTGGGGGCGGGACTGGAGGAAGCGGCAAGGAAGGTGAGGTGGTGAACAGAAAGACAGACAGTGAGCCAGGCAGCAGGAAGGAGGAGTGAGAGCCACACACGGGGTGGTGGGTGGGGGGAATACAAGGATACAGGCTGGAGAGGAAAAGGAATTGGGGAGATGACAGGGAGGGGCTGGTCAGCCACAGGAGTTGAGGGGACAGGCGAGGCAGCTGGGGGAGGCCCGTGGCCCCAGCTGCCGCAGGTGTTGGAGATGCCAGATCCCTGGCAGAGGGAGGGCTCAGAGTGTGAGGGACGGGGCCTCCGGGGCAGACACTCAGGGCCACCTGGGACACACAAATATCCAGGGTTCCCAGAAACATTAATTTAATTTAATTATTTGATCTAATTGAATGTTGGCGGTGCTGGTGGTGGAACCCAGGGCCTTTACTTTTCCTCTCCACATCCCAGCCCCATTTCTTTGTTTACTTAGAACCAGGGTCTCTCTCTGTCACTGTGTTGCCCAAGCTGGATGTGAACCTGTAACCCTCCTGCATCAGCCTCCCAGAATGCTAGGGTTACAGGCGGCACCACCACACAGCCTTACAGCGTCCCCCAAAAAACTCTTAGTCACAGAATACAGCACCCCACTGGACTGGCTGCACCTCGCAGGATGGGCTCCGGGGTTGGTACCTCCAGGGTTGTTTAATTCCAGCACCCAGGGTTATAATCCCCATTTCACAGGGGAGGCGGCTGATGCCAGGCTGCGAGGGGGCCCAGAGGGATCGGATGTGCGAGAGCTGAGAGCTAAGGCCCTGCACCCCCTACTTCCAGACCCAGGCCTCCGGGGCCCCACCTACCTGGATCCCCTCGATGCGTTCTGTGACGACATACGCATGGTGCATGGCCACCAGGGGTACCTTGACTCCCGCCATCCGGCCCACTGCGCCTGCCCACACGCCTGTGGACACAGCACAGCAGCTCAGTTCTGTGGGCACCCTCGGGGCCACCACCCAAGTGACTTGGGGCCCTCTGCAGGCCTCTCTGCCCTGGTCAGGACTCAGGGCCCCAGAGGGAAGCCCCGTGGATGTGGGGCCAGGGCTGGGGATATCAAGAGTCAGCAGAAACACCACTGTCACCTGCACAGTTGACCACGCAGGGCGTCTGGATGGAGCCGTGCTCTGTTTCCACGGCTGTCACGCGCCGCACCCCAAAATCATCAGTCTGCACACGGATGCCGGTCACAGGGCACCTCTCGATGACCTGGAACAGGAAGAACTGCTTACAAGACCAGGAGCACCTCCCAGGGCACTGACCCTGGCTCTGGCCAGCTACTCTGGACCCAGGGAACTAGGGACACTACAGTGTACAGTAAGGGCAGCCCTGTGGGAACCGAAAACAAAAACCAGAGCCCCAGGGTATGGAGCCCCCATCCCTGGACTTGCAAATGGGGGTGGAGGTCGGTGTTGGTCACAAGAGGACGTCGGCTCTCTAAAGTGGAAGTGAGGCTCTGACGAGCAGAGGACGCCCGTGGTCAGTACAGCGCAGGTGTCCACTTGGCTTACAAGGGTTACAGACACCCTTCTGACACACAGACAGCTTCACAGAAAAACATTCGGGCGACCCTTCTGACACACAGACAGCTTCACAGAAAAACATTCGGGCGCAACACGATCAACCCTGGTTACTTGCGGGGCGACTGCTCTGTCTGCTTTTTTGCATCTTTGTCATTTTCAATCTTTCTACATCTCTGCTCGGGTTGGAGACATACAAAATAAAAAGCAGGAGGGAGGCTGGGAGGACCTGCTGGTGCAGCCTGGCAGGCCTTCTGGGGGAAGGGGGTCGGGATGGTCGCTAGCCCCTGCAGGTCCAGGGGAGGCTGAGTCTGCACAGGTGTGGACACGAAGCCTCAGCTGGCCCTGGCAGGCAGACAATGGCCTGCTCCTACCTCCACTCTCAGGGCTCTCAGGATAAGTGGGCTCAGAGCTGCGGCCATCAGGTACCTTGGCTCCTCGGGCTGTAGCCGCCCTGGCAAGGGCAGTGCAGGTGCCAGCAGGGTCCATGGTGCCGTCCTGTGGCACATACAGGGTCCCATAGAGGTCATCCACGTTCATCAGTGGGTACAGAGCCTTGGTCTCTGCAGGACTCAGCACATGGGACTCCACACCATAGGCCTTGCCCAGCTAGAGGGGCCAGAGGAGGCTGAGCGGTGGGAGCTGTTCTGGGAGCTCCCAGGCCACCAGCCAGATCCCCAGAGGCCTCCACATCCAGATCCCTAGACCACAAGATGGCTCCAGCCTCGGGTGGAGGTGCAGTGTGGGGACCCTGTCCCCCTAGCGCTGGCTAGCTCTGCCACTGGGGCCTGGAGTTCAATGGCCACCACATAAATCCTTTACGCAGGTGATAAAGAACTGGGCCAGTACGTGGTGCAAAGGGTTTATTACCTAAAATGCATAAAAGTCACCCCCACAGTCTTATATGTTGGGCCTGGGAACCCGGTTTCACAGGTCAAACTGGCTTCCCCAAGCAAGAGGAAACCATGCTGTACAGGAGACTAGGACAGAACATGGACACGCCCCCACCACATCTGATTGGCCCCAAGGCAGCCAATCAAGGGTCCCTAGGACTGAACTAGGGATGAGCCGAGCCAATCATTTCTCCATCTGGGAATTATGAATGAAGAGGGGCCAAAACGCTCCACCCAGGCAGCGCAGCCATCGGGGTCAGGTAGGGCAGGTTTTGAGTCCAGACCACTAAGGACTCCTTTCCTGTGACGGGCTGGGCCCCCAGGGAGCTCATCCACCCACCCACCCCAACCTCTCCTGGCATCGCCCCTCCCCGGTGCACCCACCGACATGAGCCTCTTGTACTCATCCAGGCGCTGCCGGCTGGAGGCGATGAAGAGGCCCCCGTTCTGGATCCAGCCCGTGTGCAGCCCCGTCTCCTCCTCCAGCTCGCGGCTCACCACGCGCCTCGTGTGGGCCAGCAGCTCCACCTCCACGTCGCTGGGCCGCAGCTGCCACAGCAGGCCTGGCGCAGAAGGAGGGCTCTTATCAGTCCCCGCCAGGCTGCTGACTCCCTGCTCCCGGTCAAACACCAGAGCGGTGGGGGGCGGGTGGGGTAGGCAGGAGAATTCACAGCTGGAGACCCCAGCAGTCCCCACGGTGCATCAAGTGCCAATTGTGTGCCAAGCCAGGGCTGAACCCGTCGGGATGACCCCACCCCCACCCTGACACCCGAGTGCCAGAGCAGCCTCCTAGGAGCACATGGCTAGTTCACAGATGAAACCACAGAGTTCAAGGTTGGAGAGCAGGCGAGTGGCAGGATCGGGACTCCTGCCAGGGCTGACGGGAAGGGGTCCCCACAACAGAGCTGCCTCTTGTGCAGCAGAGCCCTAGGAAGAGGGGACACGAGGACAAGGGTCTGGAGGGCCCATGAGCCCAAGTGACTCTGTGGGCTCTTGGGGCCTAGGGTGAACCCCTTGTCTGACCTCACCTTGCCAGTTTGGTTTTGGCCAAGCCAATATTTACCCACTAGGAATGCGCAAGCGTGTGCCTAGAGAGAACATTTTCCAGCACAGCCCTGGTCACAGAGCAGACATCAGCTGCTGGTGGACACACATGCTGGAGGTGCTTGACATATGCCCAGGGGGAGGTGGTAGTGTGCCCAGCAAGTGCCCCTTGCAGGGGTGGCTCTCTTGGGAAGGGGCCTCTCGAATGGGACAGAGAACAGGGGCTTCAGCCCTGGTGCTGCACTCGGGCAGTACCATCCCTCTTCCTGTCGCAGCTCTCCAGGGACTTGGGGGCCAGCCACGTCTCCACATCTGTCCATCTCCAGACTGGCCAGTGGTCTCTCCCTTCCAGCTCAGCTGCCTCTCCCAGGTTTGAGGCTGCCCCCCGACATGACCCGCCTGCATCCTGTGTGTGCCCCCATGCACCCTACCTGTGCCCATGTGCATGCCAGTCCTACCTGCCGTGTGCCACGTGGTCCCTGATGTCAGTCGCTCACGCTCCAGGAGCACAGCCCCGGTCACGCCCAGCTTGGCCAGGTGGTACAGGGTCTGGCAGCCCAAGCTGCCCCCGCCAATGACCACCACGCTAGCTGTGTTGGGCAGGGGCTGGCTAGGTCCCCGAGTTTCTGCCAAGGGCCCCACAGCCTCCTCCTTCAGGGTGCGCTGGTAGGGTACATTCTTCTCTGCCGGGGGATTCACAGTGCTGGCCAGGGCCTGCAGCCCCAGGCGCGGGGCCAGTCTCCATCGAGGGCAGGTGGCAGCCAGGTGCAGGGCTCGGCTCAGGGAGGCCATGGGGCTCCGGGCGTCAGGGAAAGTTGGGCTGGGCAGAGCTGAAGGCACACAGCGGGGGCCATGCTGTGTGCCAGGCCCTGCTGCCCATGCCCATCTCTGCCCAGGGCTCCTCCTGCTGCCTCTTGGGTATGAGTGCCTCCCTTCACTCGTTCTGGGTCCAGCAGGGTCCAGCTGGGCCAGGGGCACAGTCCCAGAGGGGTGGCGGAGAAGATGGACTGGAGCCACTGACAGAGCCCCACAGTGGGAGCCGGGAAACTCCAGGGCCATCCAGAAAGGGAGGACATCAAAGACAGGGAGGGTCCCAAGACTGAGGACACCCAGACAGGAGTACCTCACGGGTGGGCAGGGATGGTGCCTCAGTGCCCCTTTCCACTCCCAGAGGAGCTCGCCCAGAAGTCTCCAGTCACCTCCCGACCCCACAGCCACCTTGGGCTTAGGGGAAGTAGGGCCTTGTGTATCCCAGCATGAGGAGGTTACCCCCACAGTGGGAGCAGTGACCCCGGGGTGGGAGCCAAGCTCGCCCCCAGCCATCTCACCACAGAACCCAGCTGCCCTTGGGGCTGGCCCAGAACCTCAGCGGACCAGGTCTTGACCCAGGTAACTGCACAACCTTCTGTGCCATCCTGCTGAGCCTGACCTCAGCCCTGCGTCTTCTCGATCTCCTCCCTGACTGCTGAGTCCTTGTCCAGTGTCACTAGGTGGTGAGAGCCCTCGCTGACACACACAGCCACCTTCACTCAGCTTCTAAGACACCCCTTCTTTAACGACAGCTATGTCCAGGCACGACCAAGGTGCCTCGAAACGTCTTTTCTGTACCATTCTGTAGGTCTCATCTGTTTTTGTGTGTTTACAGATTCTCGGTGTCTTCTTTTTGCACAGAACACCTTGTTGATGGAACACTGTCCTTTCTGCCCATTGTACTGGACAGTACCAGTCACAGCCCAAAGGGTTATGCCAACAAAAGCAAAGTCAGCAAACCAAGTTTCCTCTGGCCGCCTCTCTGCTCTGAATATCGCAATGCACACACACGTAACACACAACCCCTCAGCTAGTGACCCTCCCTGAAGGACCTTCTGGCAGGAACCGTAACTCCGTCATTAAGCAAGAAATGTCTGCAGTTTACTAAGTCACTTCTTCTGTCACTCTCTTGCACACGCCACTGTCCTCCGTGTCACAGAGAAGAAACTGAGGCACAGAGAGGTTCCCAAAGGTGACAGAAGTCACAGGGCCACAAAGTCTGAGTGCTCTCCTGTCCCAGGCTAGACCTAGTGGGACCATAAAGACCTCGACAGCCCCTGTGCAGACTCCCAGGGTGGCTGGTGCAGTAGGGTGCTGGGGTCTGTGCCCTGAGCCTTGGGGCAGGAAGAGCTGCCGGCAGGAGCCCCGTGGCAGCTGTCTACCTTTTGCTGCCCACTGTGGGGCCCAGCATGGGATGCCCCCTCTCTATCCCTACCTTGGGTCCTCGAGGTGCTCAGCCGTCTAGGAGCTGCACGAGTGGTGTCCTGGGGCAGCGTTGGCACAAGGGCCCAGAGGGGACTCTCTCAGGCCGGGCACAGGACTCCTCCCCACACAGTGCCCGGTGCAGTGCCACTGGCCTTCATACCCGCCCGGCCAGTCCACTGTCCCCACCGCCTCCGCCCCCAGCAGCTGCTTCAACATTAACCCGATTCGCTCTAGCCGGGCCAGTGCTGGGCTGGGGGATCCTGTTGGGGGCTGGGTTAGTACCTCAGCTTTGCTGTGGGCCTGGGCACAGGGAAGTGAGGGGGTGAGTGTGGAAAGGACCTGGCCAGCTGTCTCCTGGGGAAGCCCAGGCCACCCACTCACCCCAAGTGCCTACAGCAGCCCAGCCCCCCTCCCCTGCTCCCAGGAAGCCTGGGCCCTGCCCTCCTGGGGGGCCAACCTCCTCCTGGGTGCCTGCACGGCGGGGGGGCACCGTCACCACCTTCCTTCCTGAGCTGTGGTCTAGCCCCGAACAGGCCCACACTCTCAACTCGCAGCCTGCTCACTGTCCCCGCCCCACATGTGGGTGGGACACACCGCCCGGCAGGGTGCTGGGCCAGCCAGCAGGGCAGCAGCCAAGTGGACAGCTGGGCTGGGGCCTAAGCCTGGAGCTGTCTCCGTGGTGATCTGGCAGTCCTCCTCCTCTCTGACACTCACTTCCTGTCCCCTACATGGTGGGGAGGGGTCTCGAGGCTCCTGTGGTGACCCCCAGAGTCCCTGCCTGCCCCAGGGGCCCTGAGCCCAGGCTGTGGGTGGGCCTGCTGGGGAAGCAGCAGTAGAGGCACCGCCCACCCCGGGCTGCCAGCAGCTCATCCTGACATATACAGGGCCTGATCCTCTTGCCTGGTCAGAACAGCCCTGCCCTCCCCCTCCCCCCCAAATCCTGCCCTGCAGAGTTCCCAACACAGCCTTCTGGAGAGACCAGCCCTACCACTGCACAGAGCCTGGGGCCCCAGGCTGGGATTCCTGCTTCCGTGACTGTCAGGCACACTGGTGTCCCAAGATGCCCCAGCAGGAAGCAGCCAGATCCTGGGTGGGTGAGATCCCGGCTATGACGGGGCCATGCCTGAGAACCTAGAGGTGGCCCGGCTCAAAGGCTGCCATGTATTCACATCACTCTTAGTCCCTGTGCAGAGGCCAGCCTTTTTCCACAATACCCCCACCTCAGGGTGGGCTTCCCTGGGACAGTGTGGGCCCCAGGGGAGGGAGAGACCAGTCTGTTCCATGGGTGACCCAGCTTGGCCACCTGAGAAGAGGCCAGGCCCCAAGCGGGGCAGCCCGGACTCTTGAGCCTGAATTCTCAGACAGCAGTGCTGTCCAAGCCAAGGGGCAGCGCTGTCACCTGGACTTTGGGCAAGGGGAGGAGGCTAGAGGCCGGGCATGTGATTGGGCATGGATTCAGGCCACGTGGCATCTGCTCCAGAAGGGACGAGAGGACGGGCTGCCTCCCAGGTGTGGGGGCACAGGCTCGGCCGAGATGCTAGCATAAGTCCTACTGCCACTTTACCCCACCTTCTGCTGAGACTCAGTTTACCCATCTGAGAAGTTAGCCTGCCCCCTGCCATGCCAGTTTCATAGAGGTTTTGTGGTTTTCCCTGAGGATTACTGCTTGGATTTTGTGGAGCCCGTGGGTGTTGTGGTTGACTTATTCTTGGGGGTGACAGGAGTCCCACACCCCAAATCCAAGGGAAGAGCATGCTGGACTCAGCCGTCAGCCCCACAGTGCCGTGCTGCTGCCAGCCTTCAGGGAACAGGGCTGACCCCAGGCTGTCCTCTGCTGGGCAGAAGTTCAGAGCAGTGTGGGATGGGTAGAGGGTCCTCTACTGAGCCCCACATGTAGCCCTGTGACACAGGACACGAGCAGCGCCAGTGACAGCCCAACCTGGGTGTTTGTCCTGCCCTGAGCAGCACTTCTGGGGGGCAGGCAGTGTCCTCTAGGGCAGGACGCCAGGAGCAGGTCCCAGGCAGTCACAGCACAGGCAGACCAATGGCCAGGCTGCTCTGAGACTGAGTTTCCACTGCCAGGGTTTTATTTTCCCAACAAGAACCCAGAGAGAACCCCAAGCGCCTCCCTCCTCCCTAGCACCTTGTGAAAGCTTGGGTGAGTCCGACCACTCCCCAGAGAGCGCCCACTGGGCTCCCTCTGTCCTGGGCACTGGAGGCCTCTACTGCCCCGGCATGTGGGTGCGAGAGGCTGGACAGGGTCCAGTCACAGTGGCTCCTTGCTGGACACTGCATCCCCCCAGAACTCATCTCTGCCTGATTTGTGTGTGGAAGGGAACTCCCCATGTTGAGCTGGTGCCTGTGAGAAGCTGGCACACAGAGCCTGCCGTGGGCTCCCTTTTTACCCGCACACTTAAGACAGGGCACAGTTGTCCAGCTGCCCGCACTCCTCAGCCCCAGCCTGTGCCCTGGCCCCTCTGCGTGTCCCACAGGTCTCTGGGGCCTCTGCCTTCCCAGCTGCTGACCAGACCCCTGGATATCATCCCAGCCCAGCCTCCAAGGCACCCAGGCTCTATTGATGAGGGACAGGCAGGAAACAGTGCACTTGGGTTCCAGGGATGCAATGCCCATCCGTGCTCAGGTGGGGGCAGCAGCACCCAGGGATCTGGTCATTCCCGTCAGCGTGTCAGGCAGGAAGCTGAGCCACCGCAAAAAACACCGCCCCCAGTGGTCAGACGTGAGTACTGCATGCAGGCTGATCTCTCACTGGCCTGGAAGGACAGAGAAAGCAGCAGCTCCAAGGCAGAGAGCGTGGGGACCTTGCTCCGGGGAGTGGGGTGTATGTCCCCTAGCTGCTTGTCAGATTCCAGAAGAGGGCAGTTACACACCTCCCGGAGGCTGGGAATTCACCCATGGCACCCATCATTCCACCTGGCTTTGCCTTGTGTATCATTGGTTTGTTTGGTTTTCTGAGAGAGGTCGCCCTGTGTAGTCCAGGCTGGCTTTGAACTCACTCTGTAGCCAAGACTGGTCTTAAGCCTGTGGCAGTCCTCATGCCTCAGCCTCCTGAGTGCTGGGATGACACGTGTGCACCACTCCCCGCTTGCTGTGTGCATCTTGAGGTTGGGTGCTAAGGTCCAGGATGGCACCTATGGTCTCAGCATCCCCGGTCATCATCAAATGAGCCTCTCACACCACGGGGTGCTGTCTCGCTGTCTGGTTTGGCTGATTGTCACAGTAAAAATCCCCCCTGCAGCCAAGCTGACGGGCGGCAAGACTGATGTCCCCAGCTGTGGTACCAGTACCATTGGCTCTTCCAGTCAGCCAAACAGGTTCCCGGGTAACATGGCAGTCACCGCCTCTGACCCGGCACGGCCGCTCTCCTTTCATTGTTGGTTTCCAGTATTCCCGAAGCATGATGTCTCTGCCGTGCCTCACATGTTTGTATTCGAGAAGGTGACACACAGCTGTAGCCCCTGGTGGTGACAACCGTCCACAAAGTGACAGCGTAGCACGGCCTCGATCCTGGGACCGCGTTGCTGGGTGCTGAGCCCACAGAGCCGGAAAAGGAGAACACAGGTGGCCGGCGAGGTGCTGGGGAGCAGGCTTGGGGGAGCCACCGGGTCAGGAGAAGCGGAACCCATTTCCTGCCGAGGGTGGGTGGCTCTCTGGATGCCTCCTCTCCCCCCACACGAACGGAAACCATCCAAGCTATGGCGTGGGCTGCCTGCGTGCACTGACTGAATCGCCTACAGCGGACTTCTGGAGTGGAAGCAGGGCCGAGCTGTGGAGACTCAACACGTTCCACGCACCTGCGGTCCTGACGCGCCTCGAGGAGCCCAGCCGCCTCCGCCAGGCAGAGCCCTGGTTCTGTCCATACCGAGAGCCAGCACAGAGCTGTTTCCCAGCCTCCTTGGGAGCCAGCAGTGGTCACCTGGGGGAGGCAGTGTCCTCCTCGAGGGGCTGTGTGTGCCCTCTCCCTGCTTGAATGTGGACTCAGCCTGAGGCAGAAGCTTCATCTTACCTCCAGTGCATGGGGTGAACTTGGGAGGTCACATAGGAGGCTGAGCAGTCACACTCGAGGAGAAGGCCCTGGCCCTGGCCTCATAGAAGACAGTTCTAGCCCTGGTCATACCGGGAGCACTGATGGTCCCATTACAGTTTGCGCTCTGCAGCTGCTCTCCAGAGCCCCATGAGCTCCGAGGCGGAGCTTTGGGAAGAGGTCGGGAGGGGGCTCCTAGCTGACCTACAGTGCGGAGGTGGCACGTGATTGGGGGCAGACCCTGGGGCTTGGCCTAGAAGGTTCCATCCTGCCTAGGCACCTCTCTCCTCTCCCTCCTTCCCGTCCACCATGCTGTGAGCAGCTCCCCTCCACTCCTGCCCTTCCACCACAACTTCCGGCCCTGCAGCTAGCTGATCTTGGACTGAAACCTCAAACCAAAATAACTCTCGCCTTTAAGTTGCAGGTGTTGGGTATTTTGTCCCAGGGGCAAGAAAGTGACTGAGACAGGTGGGAAACAGCAATTGCTCTTGCTGATGGGCAGAGTGGCTCTACCCAACCCTAAAAGAGCTGCTGCATTCCTGTGCGAAATGCAGGTTTGAGCACAGCAAAGAGCACAAACTCGAAGTATCGAGCCATGACCAAAGATAAGAGCCCGAGCCTAACCCACAGGCATGGTCAGTTCTCTTGGAATAAGCAGAGGCTCCCGCTGCCTGGCCTGGGGGGAGCAGCACCAGTGAGCCATTGCCCAGAGGGTGACGTCAAAACCCTGTCATTTGGGCACATTTAACACCTTTGTAATTTTCCACTTGGAAAAATTACCTTTTTAAGTGGAAAATTTGAAACTGCTTAAGGCAAACTATAACTTTTGTTCAAGGACTAAATACTTTGTTCCAACCTGAAAGGATGACAGGATCAGAAAGCAAAGTGCACCCTGCGCCTGTTCCTTACCCGGCATATGCTGTCACAGTCACCAATACCCTGCTCAAATTGACGGTGGCCACACTGTCTTCTGCAAGTTTCCATGGGAAGGACTTGTATCATTGAAAATTTTAAAATAACTTTGAAATGTTTTATCACCTTATTTATAATTTTTTGGGTTACTACTGGAAATGTGTCTTCATTTGCAAATGCAGATTTCTCTGTGTAATTTTTATTACTGTTCTCTAACTTCATGGGGGTGAGAGAAGCTAGAATAACTGTAACTCACCGAGTCCTGCCCCGTGGGCCACATCTCCAGGAAGACGTGCATTTGGCAAGGACAGTGTCTATGACAGCCCTTCTCCGTGCTGCTCTCCCCTGAAAGCCTTGCTAAGTGTTTTCTTCTTTTTATGCAGTGCTGGGGATTGAATCCAGAGCCTTCGCATGGAACTACCTCCCCAGCCCTTCTTAATCTTTCACATTTTGAGGCAGGGCTTGCACTTGAGATTCTCCTGCCTCAGCCTCGCA